GATAAGGGAATAAGAAATAAACATTTTCACTTCAAAAGGATCCAAACAGGCTACATGCAAAAACAGTAATGTGTCTTTGATATTACATTTTATGGGCTTTTTCCATCCCTTTTTTAGGACAAGGACACTCATCGCTGGCAGGATCTCCTTGGAAATGCTGGGTGTAGAAAGCCATTCCCTCCACAACAGGCAGCGCACGTGTACGCTGGCAAGCTCATCCTATGGTCCTCCGCTTCGTTTTTCTTTCTATTCCCACTTTTAGCCATTTTGCACAGCCAGACAGAAACAGCTTTTCCCTGTGACGGCGTCGAGCTGAACCTCTGTTAGCCAGGAGGGGCCCGAGCAGGTCCGTTAGCCTGCTGGGTCTGATAAGGTTGAAACTTGCTCTCAAGCAAGAAGGCCCCGTCCCGCCCTGGGCCAGCAGCAGCAGACCCGACGCCGCCCCGCGGCCTGTCTGCCGGGCCTGGGTGTCCCCGTCGCCCCGAGAGCGCAGCGTACAACCAGCTCCCCTCTGCCAGCCGCGAGCGACTCCCCCACCGAGAGCCTCCACGGGGTGCTGGCAAAGAGGCTTCAGCAAAACGTACTTTGGGAAATTCGCGGCCCGTCTCGGTTTCCCCAGCTGCCCCTTCTCTGGCCTCATCGATTTAAAGTCTGTATAGTCGAGGCGGCCTTGTGGTGGCTGACAAAATGGGCTCTGATCTCACTGAATACTTAAAGAGGTTTAGGTATAATAAAGCTGCGGTACAAAATCTCTCGCTTTAGGAAACATTCACGAAAGGCAGTGTTCACTCCCTCGCCTTCCCGGAGGCAGCCTGGCTCCCTGGCACAACCCTTCCCGCGGCGCTAGCAACGGGGCCGCAGCGGCGAGCAAGCCCTTGCCCGGGGGACAGTTTGCGTTCCAAAACCAAGTATCTTAAGCCCCAGACCAGATCTCAGCCTTGTTTACTTTTGCTCCTGCAGCAGCCGAGCTTCCCTCAGCGTGCGGGCACGCTTGCAGGAGCAGCGTGGTGGGTAGCAACATTCAGAGGTTAGTTCTGCCTGTCTGCGAGCGTCCCTGGGGATTGCTGTCTCCTTTCATAATTAGGCTGAATAGTTCTTTGCTAAAACTGATGAGAGGCTTCCAAGGTTCAATCCTCTTGCCCATGCCTGTACAATTTGATTTTAAGCTACACCGTGAGTCAGGAGCCGGGTTTTTCATACACTCTGGCTCAGCGTAAAGGGGTTAGTTTAAGTCTGGAGCACTTGATCTTTGTACTTGGACAACGTCCTTGCAATGCAACGCGCGCCGTCAGCTATAATTTCTGCTTTTCTAATATGCCTACAGTGCTAATGCACATGGTATGCAGACGGGCAGGGGTGGGCTTTTCCAAACAGGCTGACCCTCGGCTGCAGGATGAAGTTACAGATCAGACACTCGGGCACTTACCTCCCAGCCAGCGAGCTCAGGCTTTCTGACGTGGTTTGCTCCAAAGTTCCCAGGAAGAGTTGTACTGGGAATTGCTGCTCTTAAAGGTCCAGGCTGCCTTTACTGCCTGGCAGGGACAGTGTCATCCTCCAGCACAGCAGGAAAAGAGGGGAGAGACTTTCTTCTTTTATAATAATTTATATTCTGATGGTTTTATTGGTTTATTCGTATTGGCATATGCGTAGAAAGCCCTGTCATGCAATTCATTGTGTTAGGTGCTGCACAGGGAGACTTAAAATGATCCAGTCCCCAAATTGCTTACATTATTGAGTAGATTTTAACCTCCCACGTTACTGATTGAGAACTGAAGCCCTCCAGGAAGGCAAAGGAGACATACAGTATGGGTATCGCAAGCAACTTTTGTAAGTGGTTATAACCCCGTCCTCAACCCCACAGGTCACCCGCGTGCTTCAGTCTCTGGGGCACCGGGATGGTTGCACCCGTGCTGAAGCAGCAAAGCAATAGTTCAAATTTTGATACTGATTTTACACTGTTGACACTCATGTGGCCTGGATCCCTGTAGGAAGTGACTTACTTATGATTGAAAGCCACTTATCCACGCCAAGGAAGTCACCGATTTATTGGCAGGGGATGGCAACTGTTGAATTCATCACACCGCACTGAGCTATACTGCGTGGCTGATACCAGAGCTCCAGAGCAGCAAGGTCAGATCTGCAAAGTCATATAGCTGTCTAAATCCCCTTGGGTTCAAAGAGAAGCCCTGTTCTTCGGCAGTGAGGATGCTGCTCCCGGAAAGCGCTGCGTTCCCTGAGCCTGCTATGCCTTTAAGGATTTGCCTCCAAAGTTAGTGATAAGGAAAAAGCAAACTAGTGCAATCTGAGATGAAGGAGCCTCTTTTGTTTTCCCTTCCCAACCGAGAGTTTCATTTGATTGCTCAGCAATAAAATATGCTTCCATGGGTGTGCTGAGCAGGATGGCCAGAAGTGCTGAGCTGTGCCATGAAGCAGGCAGCAGCCAGAGCAGCCGATGGGGCTGACGCTCAAGGAGATGAGCCAACTGAAAGAAAAGCGTTTTTTTGTATTATTATTTGCCCTTCATGTGCTGAATCTCAGGGGCAATGGACATCATAACGCCCTACTCCTGCCTCTGAGCCTATGAAACAGCCCAGAGCACGAAAAACACGCAGGCACGGGGGGAGGGACGGGCACAGCCTTTTCTAGGTATTTCCTATGTCTGCTCCCACAAATGATGGCGCTTCTTGGCTCTGCCGTGGACACTCTCCTGCCCCACACCTCCGTGAGACCTGGCTGGGCTTTCACCTCCGTCCCAATGCCCTTCCCCAGCTGCCAGGCTGCTGCAAGGATAAACCCACCGAGTTTAGCTCACAGAATCACAGAATCATTAAGGTTGGAAAAGACCTTCAAGATCATCAAGTCCAACCATCAATCCAACGCCACCATGCCCACTAAACCATGTCCTGAATTGCCACGTCTACAAGTTTTTTGAACATTTCCAGTGATGGTGACTCCACCACCTCCCTGGGCAGCCTGTTCCAATGCTTGACCACTCTCTCAGTAAAGAAATTTTTCCTAATATCTAGTCTAAACCTCCCCTGGCACACCTTGAGGCCATTTCCTCTTGTCCTATCACTAGTTACTTGGGAGAAGAGACCAACCCCCACCTCACCACAACCCCCTTTCAGGCAGTTGTAGAGAGCAGTAACGTCTCCCCTCAGCCTCCTCTTCTCCAGACTGAACAACCCCAGTTCCCTCAGCTGCTCCTCATGAGACTTGTGCTCCAGACCCCTCACCAGCTTCACTGCCCTTCTTTAGACACGCTCCAGCACCTCAACGTCCTTCTTGTAGTGAGGGGCCCAAAACTGAACACAGTGCCAAGTACAGGGGCACAATCACTTCCCCACTCCTGCTGGCCACACTATTTCTATGTTATTTAGCTCCTTTAGCTCTTCCACTAACGTGGGGACCAAAGAAGTATACAGCTTGCAAACAATCCAGATCCTAGGACAGTTTCTTCTGACCATCTGTGTTGCAAACTGCTGGTCCACACTATAAGCCCCTTTTTCTTCTGCAATCCACTACAGGGTCAGTCTTCAACATTTCATTTCCTTATAGGATGGGGGAGCCTCATGTGCTGCAAGCGACTATTGCAGACAACGAGACATAAGGATGTGCTTGACTCTGGGAATTTGGGGATTTGGGGAACTCACTGTATCTCTACGAAATACCTTGTGAACGTGCAGAAGAGCTTTTATTAACTATAAATTGTTAGTTATAGGAAGCTGCACATAATTGCATAACAAATTAAAAAAAGGGTCACCGTGTTATTGTATTTTTAAAAGCCTTTGCTGCAAAATATTAGCACATACAAATAATCAAGACAACTGCAGTGATTAATGAAATTCTTTATTTTGGGGATACACGTTGTAATTTGGGGGAAAAAACAGCTGAATAGTTCTACTTCCCAATTCTTGACTTGTTTATTTAGTTGTAATTCATTTGTATAATTTACTTAATTATAAGTGCACAGTTGTAATGCTTCCAAGATTTGTACATAAAGGAACATCAAGCATCTTCTCAAAGGGCAAAGTGATCACATTTGAGTAATTCCTCATACTAAAAATCTTAGCCTTTAGGTATCTGATTCAGATTCATCATTTCTCCTTATACAAATATAATAATTAGTATCACTGCGAACACATCCTCAGCGGAACAGACATGTTCCAGAAAAATAATTCTGCACATGTGTTTGAGTTCAATCACAATAATTAATGTGCGATAACACTCTGAGTAGAGTCTTACGAGAGGAGCATGTATTCCCAGCAGTCTGCTGCTGGGTGGTAGCAAACAAAATGCATGGGAGACGCTTTCAGTTCAAAGAAACGCTGCTTTTTGGTTACATCGTTGGGAGAATGGGAGTCATGCAAAGTCTGAAACGTGACATAATTGTCCATTAATATTTCTCACCAGCTTTAGGCCACAAATAGCCCATCCGTACGTGTTCGCACAGTGCGGCACAGGTGTGGGACTGTCCAACTGCAGCACGAGAGGGTGTTGCGAATGCAAGAGCAAAAAGGACAGGCTTATGGCCTGACTGTAGCAAACTCAGCACTGGATGTCTTTGTTTTTCTGGCTATTAAATTCCAAAAATAATATGGTATTCATTTAAGAGGTGGGTATGATGTTCCCCAGGTGGCAGAGCAAAGTAATAAAGAAAGAGACATACAGCTCCGTCACTCTGCGCTCCTACTCTGGGTGTATTTAGCAAAGCTTTTCAGAGATGAAAGGAGTAGGGAATGGGCAGAGTCTGCTTCCAGCTAAGCACAAACAGAAGGGAAGTGATTTGATTGAGCTAGGAAGAAATTATTGGTACGCAAACCAAAGAGAGATGCAGGAGCAGTTGTGAAAATCAATTTCTTTTCCAGATTCATGCTAATATGTTCTGCCTTACACTGGTGTAGATGGAAAGAGAAAGCTTAACCTTTAGATGCTTGTCAGAAATAGGGGGAAGGATTGCATGTAATGCTACTGGATTGAATTATAATTCAGGCAGTGAGTTAAAACAGAGACAACCTGCTCTTATTGGTGGGTACCAATTTCTTGTCTAGTGTTATATTGAATTTCTCTTTTAGTGTTTTCTCTATTTCTTCATCTGCAAGGATTCTGATTTCCACCAGATCCATATTATCCTTAAAATTGTACTGCATCTCAGTGAGATTCCATCCCACCAGAGCCCGGATGCCGTCGGCAGTCTGCAGGCTACAGATAGACTTTTTCACAAACAGCGAGTTCGGCGCTGTCTGCAGGTGGGTGTTGCAGGTTCTGAAGTCTTCAATGTCTCGTGTCTGAAGGGTGAAGAGATAAACTTGACGGCAACCTTCTTTCTCCAGGTAACGGTCAGTGGAGATGCTTTTGTTGGGAACACACTGCTTCCTTTTCACCTTGTGGAGGTACCAGACTCCATTCTCCTCCAGGAAGCGAAAGACCCCAGGAGACTGAGGCTGGTCTTTCCCCGAAATCAGCTCCATCGGCTGCCACATCTGGTAGGCCATCCCAAACCCACCGTCCACTATGTAGGATTTGTCATCAAGCTCCACTTTTAGCAGCAGGTGATCAATTTCTTCTGCATACGCGTCGAACTCCGGGACATAAACTTTTGATCCCAGAAAGGTGACGTTGTAGCCGAGGGTTTTCAGGACCCAAGATAAAAGGTGGTTGTTTTCCATGCACCAGCCCCCACGTCTCTTCCTCACTATCTTGTTGTAAGTCGCTTCCAAGTCCAGCTCAATGCTTTCCCCACAGTGGATGCTGAGGTTTTCAAAAGGGACCGCTCGGATGTGGTGCTGGAATATATCCGTCAAGGTAGCCAGGTCCAGTTTATCGTAGGAGCCCCGGTAAGAAATTCTGTTGAAATACTCCTTGATGTCCATGCTGCCTCTGAGAGAAGGATGAAAAAAAAATTAATAGGTTGTGTCAGAAGTGATGGAAGGATCTTCCCCATCCCTTATAACGGGGTGCTCATCAGCATGGGCAACCTGCTCAGAAGAGGAGCGGGATTTGACTAATGGCCCTATCAACGGCAGCTGAGTGTGAGTATTAGCACTGAGGGAAGCCAATGGGACACTGCTGATGAGCACAAATGTTATTTTTAATTGTTTCTTTTACAGCTGTGATGAGAAGCTCCAGCTGTGCTAAGCACATTTCAGCAGAGAGTTCCTGCCCAGCAAAGCTACAAATCTCTGTAGGAAGGAACAAAAACAGTAGCAGCACTGCTTCCCTGCTAGAAATTGTAGGAACTGAGACTCTCCAGATCTGAACTGCTTTACTTGTGGTTTGACTCAGTAAAACAGAAACAAAAAACAAACCCTCCTGCTCTTGCAGAGGAATCCAGAGCCTCCTCTGCAACCAAATCTGAAATAAATCTGTCCTGCTGCCATATTTCCTTCATTATTTAGCACAAGCTGGTCTCACCTACTCCTGCTCTCCAGGCTGGTGGTAGCAGACATGACCTGGAGCACAGGAGGGATTTTTTAGGGCAGAAAAGGCCGTGGGAGGTTTTTTGCTGCATCTGCCGTGAGCCACCTTGCCGCAGCACAGCTTAGCTCCCCGGCTCTGCTAATCACAGCCCTGTGCCAGCAGCAGGAGGAAACCAAGGCTGAGGCCAAAACTACAAGTTCCAGGGAGCGCCACGTTTTCTGGCATCATTTTTTGGGATGCATTTGTCCCTCCAATTCATAGTCTCCCCAGCGGCGGGTGGCTGCCCATGGGTAAGGGACCAGGCGTCACCCTGCCCATCCCAGCCGCGGCAGAAGGGCTCAGCGGGCTCGGCGGGAGGATGCGTTTCGTGAGCACGGGGGTGGAAAGCAGCCCGAACCCCCCCAGCCCTTGATGGTATGGAAACACGGAAAGGATTTTGATGTAGCCAAATATTTTTGTTATTCCTCCCCAAGCACCGCTAAATTTCAGATATCTCTGCGTATGGAGTGATGTTGTTCAGATTATTGACCAGAGAGGTCCCAAAATGTTCTCAAGTTCTTGTGTACAATTCTTAGGGCAAAATCGTAAGAAAAAGCCCAATCGGACAAAAAATAGCACACATCAAATTGCATGGGAATTTTTGGAAGATGCTTTCAGTATATAAACAAAGAAATGAAAATGCAAAATTTCCATTTGGTGTACTCTCCTGGCAGAGGCAGAGGGTGTCCCCGCTTCAGCTGCACCCACATCCTAACCTTTAGCATAGCAACATTACAGAAATCTGTAACTACTGCGTCACGGCCCCTGCCACGTCTCCGACATCCAACAAACGGGCCTGAATTCTATGAATGATCCCACATCAGGTTAAGAGCATCAGGTTATAACTCTGGGGATCCTCTTTGTTCGGCTCTTGGCTCGTTTGCAAGCTTCTCCCCAAAGCCTCAGAACTACAACTCTATTCATTTTCGAAGACTTATCAGAAATGTAGTTCTTCCTGTTTGAACTTTAAACCAGCAGCAGCAATGAGGTTTTCTTCCCCTTTCTTTTCCCCTTTCTTTCTCCCTTTCTTTCACTTTGCCACCACAGGCAAAACACGTATAGTAACTTTTACTTAAAGGGAAAACGTTGACATGGGGTTTTCTGCCTGTCTTTCCATCTCTTGTGGGTGTTTATAAGGCCCTTTCAACAGTGGTATCTGAAATAAGTCAGATGGCATGAATGCCCGATCTGCTTGAGGCTGACAACTGAGAAAATAAATCAGCATGCCTGTTACAGCGACGCACAAGGAGAGCTCCGCAAGCGGCTGAATGTTTCCTACTCTGCCGTTACACCATTTTCTGCTGTGTTTTGTCTTCAAACAGATTTAACTTCCTGGTCAGGGAGTGCTCAGCTACCAGATTCAGGGTGTAAAAAAAAATCTTACCTGGAGAATCAGTTCAGCCACCGGGGCTTGGGGGGATATTTTAAGGCTAAAGCAAGTGGTGTGGCTGGCTGTCCTTTACCTAAGCGCAGACAGGGCTCGGGGACTGTTCTCCAGCTCCTCTTCAGGGGAATGTCTTTTCCCTCAACTCGCTCTCACCCTCCTCTGTCAGATTGCAAAAGCCGGCGGAAAAAAAAAAAAGCAGAAGGGTGGAGCAGGAGAGCTGTAGTGAGTGAGCAAAACCAACGCCACCGATTCAACACAGGCGTGCAAAACCTGGCTGTTAGTACAGCAGAGACTGCTCTGCACTTTCACTCATTTCATGCTTTCTGCAGGGGCTACCTTAGGCTGGACAAAAAGGGTATTTTTTTGTTTCAATAGCTAACTGAATGCACTTGGGTAATACTTTTTTTTTCCTCGGGTATTAGGTTACTATTTGTTTGGAAACGTGGGGAAGAAATCTTGCATGCATTCAATCTGAGAAGATTTTTGCATTGTTTCTGAAAAGCAGCAAGATTCCGGCACAGTAATTTGCACCTGCAACCCCCTTGCCCCAATCAGCACGCACAAGAACTTCAGTGTTGCCTTTGCTTAATTTCCTCTCTATGATTTACCATGCATTTTTTTATTACAGCAAATTTCATAGAATGTAAGAAAGCACTGGGACAGCAGTGTGTCTTCTTTGGTCTTTGCCCACAAGTAGCCCCTGAGGATGTCGTGGTGGTGAAGATGCTGTTGGCAAATAGATGACTATGGAGTGCTAACACATAGGGAGCTCCGTCCTTTTGGTGTGTTTCATACTGCTTTTGCATCTACAAATTTTGCTTGCATTGTGCCGAGCTAAATCTTATTAATTCTCTCATATATACCGCTGGACTCTTTCCTGTTAGTTCCTCAACATTAGTTCCGGTCCTTCACATTTAGTATCAACGGCAAGATTCATTCACACACTGATTTATTGGAATAATTAGCAGAGATAATAAATGAGACCAAACAGAGATGTCTGTGGTAACCCATTATGCAGCTCCACTCCCATATCAAAATTTGGCTCTTTATCATCTCATCAGTGGCTGCTGTTTGACCCCGCAAGTGAGAACTGATGCCCAAAGCCAAGAGGCACTGAAGGGAATGGAGTATCTGCCCTCATTGGGCTCCTCTGGGCAGATCCAATTTGGTACAAAGAGAAATATCATATTCCTGGGTCAATCATGCTGTATATGGAATAATCCCTTCTCTTCCCACAGGCTGAGCCTCTCATTTTGACAAAGAGAAGCCAAAAGCCAAGCAGGCAGACCTGCAGTCCTGGTGGAAACCATACCAAAAAGAAGCCCATGGACCCATCGCTGTGCAATGTGCGAGCAGATCCAGCCGTGCTCCTCGCCCAGAGTCCTTTGGGACCACAGATGGTGCCAGAAGTGGACACTTGCCGTGCTCCCTCAGGCAAATGTGTGAAGTGGTTGGGGATCTGTTCCAGGTAACTTTGGGGTCCAGTTAAGACACAAGTGTTTTCTAACCAAGTAGGAGCAAAATCCATTTCTCCTGGTACTTTGATACTCAGCTTTTCTCAACTACCCTCCCTATAACATAGCTCTGATATTGAGCATTTTCTTCCCGTGTCTTTCAAGTTTTCACCCCAACTCATTATCCCATGCTAACATTCCTGCATCACTCTCCTTTTTCTTTCCATCCTGCACATTTTGCTCCTCAAGCCATTAAAACCATGAGCTCTCATTCTCCTGAGGCGTGCCCAAGGCCATCAGAGGGCAAAACACCCTGAATGAGCACTAAAGGTAAGAAAATGCTGATCTTTACCCAGGAACCTTGCCAGAGTATGTTTGCATTTCAGCTCTGTGCCAGATCATTGGGGCTAACTTCAGGCTTGATGGGGCAATAAACTGCAATCACAGCTGCTGGGTAATGAGGCCACGACATGCCACGCATCCCTGCCTACACCCATCCCCAAAAGCACCAAAGGGCAAAGCCCCACCTGGGCCCACTGGGTTGTGGGGAGCGTGTCCACGGGGTGAAAGGTGCAAATGGGAATGCCCGTGGAAAGGATCTTGCTCTCCACCTGGACACTGTAACTCAGTTTTGCAGCTCGGCAGGAACTGAAGTTGGTTGAGGTTTTTCCAGAAGAACCTCAATGTCATTGGACTCGCTTTTATTTATTTATTATTTCGAACTGTTGACAGCATTTAATTTATTACTGAAATCCTTCTCTCATCCTAACTCTCCTGAGAGGCTGCATCAAATATCCTGCCCTCCCTGCTTTAACAGAGCATTACATGCTGCAATATTTGCTTGGGGAGACAAAAGCATAGGGTGCCCTGTTGGGGTAATAGTCGAGGGTCTGCTCACTGCTAAGCAGCTCCCTTCTGTGATGAGATGTATACCAAAGCAAGGTATATTATATTATAATATATTATGCTTAACATACAAACTATATGGTATTTTACTTACCTGTCTGGTTTTGGTGGGGAGCAGGGAAGAGAGACTTTTAAAGTAATAAAACAATCAAGGTGTTTTAAATGGAAGTAATATAAAATCTTAAATTCATTCATAAGGTCAGATTCTTCCATCCTGCTGAGCTCTGAGTCGCTGGAAAAGGAAACGCTGCACACCCTGAGTGGAGTGGCTGGCTCTTGCCTTTCATTTCCAAAGGGAATTTAATAGACGAAGGCTGTTCTAATACAAGAGCGGTAAATAATATTCACCTATGGCCTATAAACATATTCATAATGGCAGAATTCTCTCATGCTTTATATTCATTGCCTGCCTTATGTAATTACAGATATCAGGTAGCTGCGGCTATAGATCTTTCTGGAATGGTATCCGCAGCATTCATCACGTGCCGTTTCGGTGGTGTCCACCCCACCGGCCGAAGGATGAGCCTGCGACTACGCTGCAGCTTTTGCCCGTGGGATCACAGGAGGGAGTAGCTGTGCTGGACTTCGTTTGGCTTTTTCTCGGTGAGGAAGACGGCAAATCTCAATTTTAGTGTTTCCACTATCTGAGGCATCTTTCTGAGGGCTG